GCCAAAACAAAAAGATGTAAATGAATTAGAAATGACATACTATAGCATACTTTTCGCTACTTTGCTGTTCTTTTCCTTTATATTAAGTCAAGAAATCATTATTCATTTTTATACTAAATTATACCACACCGAAATTGCATCATATCCATACATGACATACAATACAAGACACACTACAGAAAAGAGAAATTGGTACACTATGCGATTTTTTTTCATTCCTCTAACACTTGTACCAGAAGTGGAAAATGCACTTTCAAATAGGTCTATAATATACTTGGAGGAAAGCAGAGGGAATTACACTCTATAGAGCTAGCTTTCAGGTCTTAAACTGAATTGGAAGAAAGCTAAAACAATGAAAATCAGAAAATTATCTTTCTGCAAGATGTACTTGAAGAACAGCAATGACATCCCCACCCCCCCCCCCCAAAAAAAGTTGCATTTTCTTTTTCAATTTAAGTGCTAAATTATTTCCTTAAAATGTAAATACTCATTCTCAATATAAAGGCAGGCAACATTATTTTTACATTGCACATTAAAAAGGGATGCACTTTACAAGAATTAATATTTTCCAAATATCCAAAACTTTTTCCTTAGAATGAACATCGATTATTCTATCTCAAATCATTGCCAAATTTATTTTTATTTACCAACCAAAAATTTGAAAAAGCTATTAAGATCAATTATGAAGGAATTCCAACGCCAGTCATCTACAACAGCAGCGGAGATGCAAAGTACAGAACAGGAGGCCTAACTAGAACTGACTGTACTAAATTTTCAAATAGGAGCACGTAATTTAAATTGATTTGTCCCCGACTCCAACAGACATATCAGGATTGCGAAGTTCATGAGCAGAGAGACAAATCTCTCAATAAACAGCATTCAAACTATACCTTATATTCTAAAAAGAAAAGCACCTTCTTCATAAAACTGTACACAAAGAAAAAGCAGTCAACACAATGGGAAGAAAAGAAAGACCTGGCACAACACTGAATAATCACAAAATCCGAAACAAGAGCTAAAAAGAAGGGAAAATGCAAAAATCTCACAGAATCCTAAAAGTTGGAACTCTAAATATGTCTCAGGAATGAAAGATGCAGGTTTGAGGCTACCATAGTATTCAACACAGGGCACTGACCAAGACAAAAGTGTTCACAAAGACCTCACATCACGCCATCATTGTGGAAGTTATGACTGACCACCAAACAATACAAAACTTAGCTGACCAGGTGTAAGTGAGTGTAAAACAACGTGCAGAGATGGTGGATATTCATACACAGACAAACAAAACCATCACACTCCACACCACTTGCAATGAAGGATAGGTCAGGGTGGGTAAGTTAACAAGACCAGCTATCCCGCACACACAGGACTAGCAAGGCCAAGGAGGTGGTCACTCAGAGAGGCGGACAAGGAAAAGGTCCAGGCAAGAGAGATGTTGACGTACCCTTCGCCATCATCAGAACCTGGCGATGTGCTGGCACCTTCAGACGGACCAAAGATCTCTCCCATAGCATCGGCCGACTTCGCCTTCTGATTTTCCTCCACATCGCACGGCGCCCGAAATCCAAACTCCCCAGATTTACCCACATCGTTGGAAGTTGCAGAGGAGACTTTTGGCAGTTCGTCTACCGGTGACATCTGTGACATGGGCGGGCTGGGGCTGAGACCAAACACATCTGGCAGCGAACCACTCAGGACGTCAAAAGGCATTGGGGTAGGAGTCATGACACTGCCCGACATATTCAGTGAGGGAAACCCAGGGGCATGGGTGAAAATACCAGAGGAGGGCGTTGGCTCCACAAAGTGGAAATATGAAGTAGGTAGGAAGTGGTCGGGTGTGGGGAATCCCCCAGTGGACATTGGGATGCTATTTGGGTCAAATGGTTCTGGGAAGCCGGCCGGGGGACTAATCCTCATGGAGACACTGGGAGGCACAAACTGCTGGAGATTCGGAGGCGAGGACAAGCCTGTGTCAGCTGGGTACATGACCCCCGGAAGTGGGATCTCTGCTGAGTCCAGAATGACAGAAGGTACTGGGGAGGCACATAGTGACCTCACAGAGGGCGACAGGCACAAGGAGCATGGAGAATCCAGGTTACGAGTCAGGGAGGATGGTCTGAGAGAGGCCGCCACTGGGGGCAACCCATCGCAAACCATCATACAAGACGGACGGCCCACGGCAGCTCTAGAGGCAATGACAAAGATTATCACAATCCAAACATTAGCTTGCTGTGATGAGACTGATGCAATGGCTTGTGATGATATACCTGACATCAAATAGGAATCAGCACCTTAAAATTTTTCTTTGATAAGAGAACAACGACCCAGAAAGCAATGAATCTAAGAATACTAAGATGATCCTGACATCTTTATTTAAAAAATCAGAGTGATTTTCAAGGCAATAGAAAGTGAAGACACTGTTATCTTGAACAAGGAAAGTAAATTTGTCAATCATGAATTCAAGTTTACACCAAATTGAAATAACCATCCCAATTCAAAATCAAAATACAAGCCAGCTACATGGAGAAGACACTGACAGATGGTCAACTTGGCATAATATCATCAACAACAAGTCCCATTACAAACATTAAAAACATTTTGATCATGATAAAGCTCAAGAAAACAACTTGGGAGTGAAATAAGGGAACAATCTGACGAAGAGAGACCTTTTTGTGTACAAGTACTTGTGGTTTCATGTTTTTAGAAAAGCTTCGAAAGCTAAAATTTCATAACTAGAATCTAAATCTACTAAAACAACAAAATTGTCTGATTTCTGAAAAACTTCTACTTTCTTAGAGCAGTCAGCATGCTAAAAACTGCTCTTGCTTCATCTGAGAACAGAATTCCCAAACTAAAAACCAAAACAATGCACTAGATACAATTTTAACCGTTTCCTACTGTGTGAGTGAAATACTCTCTACATGGATATCCTACCCGCTTTTCTGAAGTTTTATCTATTTCATGCTTTAAAAATCATATAAAGTGGAGTTCGCAAAAACCAAACACAGTTATTCCCAAATGGTAAACTGAATGAAAATCAAATCCTCGATTTCTTATTTCAGCAACCTCTCTAAACTAAAAGCATGGCAAAACTGAAGAGATACTGGCTGCCCCACACATTTTGGTTGCAGACTCCACTCTATAAAAATTTTATTTTTCTGGTAATGGCTTATATTATCAGTTGCACCATTTTATCATATTTCACAGTACCACGTATAATTTTGCAAGTGTGTGAGACTTCTCAGAACAGTTTTTCTTTGATCAGAAAACGAAACAGAGCATTTAATACACACACAAAAAATGCTTCATCTGCAAAAATTTTTAATCAATATATATAACCGTCAAAGAGAATATATCTTGTCTTTTTCTATGTTTTCTGGTGACACTTCCACTTCTTTTGTTTTTGTTTTTATGTTTGCTAGTTCTACTTTCACTTTTTTTAAAATGTTATTTAAAAACACATGACAACCTCTCATTTCAATTGAAATACATGAACTTAGAATTTCATTATAACAAACTCTAATATAATTTTTTTTAAATAGAACTTTGAATTATCATTGATAAAATCCAGCATTACTGGACTGGACTATTACTTATTATTATCAAATTATAAACAGTAGAGATTCAGGCGAAGTTTTCAAGACTACTTTCCAATGAAAGCATTGTGTCACGAAGCAGTGAAATCAGGCACTCGTCAATTTTTGATGAAGTAGCTTGATATTCAACTGTCTTGCTTTCAGTGAATAATACCCATCACGAATTAAAGTCAAGATATTTGCGATGACAGTGGGTGGGGGTCGAATGGTTTTTAAGTAAAATCAGTGGGAAAATGGCCTTCAAAGTTTCTGGTACAACCATAGCTTGAGAGTCCTTGGAATCTGAAAATGTATTTTTTAGCCTTTACAGAACTTTTCAGTTTAAAAATCCACACAAGGAAATGTGTTTTTAATAGAACATTAAAGGTGTTGAGCCAAAACACAGAAATTCGACAGGAATTGCCCAACTGGCAGAAAAATGCTGGATGCTTCGATTTCATTAATTTGGCGAGCGCCCGATTTCACCATGATGCCCAATAATTTAGAGACCATTCCTGATTTATCAAATGGACTGTTTTGACGCCATCAAAAAACAATTTATATTACCAACTTCATTTCACATGAAAGTTAAAACAACTATCATACTAATTTCCAGAAGACAGCTCTAAGATGTATCTTATCTTAAATCTATTGCCTTTGACTTTGAAAAGACGGCAACAGTATTTTATAACTTGTTGCCGAACCTGCTCTAACAGCCACCAATATTTAACGGTAATTAATTATAATCTGCAGGCCTACAAAATATGACCTCATCCCATTTCCTCCATACACACGTTTCACATTATAATAATAATGACACTGTGTGAGATGTGCACTGCGCACCCGTGTAGAACAACCCACTATCCCCTCAACAATAAGTGGCCATCTTTACACCATTTCAACTGTATTTCCCATCATTTTAACATCTTTGCTTCATATTTTTTAGTCGTATAAAGTTTTTTTAGTCGTATATTTATTGTTAGGTTTTGCTCGTTTGTTATTTTAAAATAATAATATAATAATAATTTATAACAAAAATAATAAAAATAGCATATTTGTATAGCGCATTCCCAGCTCAACAGAAGGCTCTATCTATGCGCTTTACACTATATTAAATTATGCGATTAAATTATTACCCCAGCAGACCATAGAACACTCCGAAACATTCTCAGCTTCTCGGGAAGCATACAGTGCAAGCAGCTGATTAAGCGCTCAAACACTAACAAACTGACAAGATCTTTCGCTGTCTATACGATCCAAATTTAGCAGAGAACGGAACTTCGGTCCAGCAATATTCAAGTCCATTTGTTGGCAGAGCGAGAGAGAGAAGTAAAGGGGTTTCTCAGGACCAGAAGCACTCAAAAAGTCCATCAAAATGAAAAAGTACAGTAGAACAAACACAGATTACATGACAACGAGACTTACCTCTCGTCCACGTTCTCCTCATTCCCCTCCTGTAGTCCCATGTTGTACATGGTCTCGACAGCTTCCTCCAGGTCCTGCGGTGCTTCCCCATCAGCCTGCAGCGTCTTTATACTCCCAGTGCTCTCATCCATGGCGACGCCACTCAGTGCCTGGTCACCGATGCCTAGGTTACCAGTGGAAGAGGTCATAATGTCACTACCTGCTGACGGGAGGACACTCCCTGTGCCAACTTGCTGAGAGGTAGCCGACGGATCCCCACCAGACGGGGGTAGATTGCCTCCGACGTGACTCTGGCTCTGAGACCGTGGGATGGGAACACCACCTACGACGATAAACCCTTGATTCTGAGCAGAACTCATGTTATCTTGAACAGCAGATTTGAAGTCTGCAGAAACGGAGGACGGTATCACACCTTGAGCCCCTCCAGCGGCAGCTATCAACGTTGAGTTTGGTACAGCGATAATCTGAGTGGTCTGTCCTGTCTGGACTCCATTTTGGTACAGTGATGTTGCTGGTCCATTTTGAGCATATGGAAAGAGGTTGGACTGCGGCAGACTCTGAACAATATTGGTCTGCACTGGCTGAGCAAGAGTTTCAAACGACGTACTGGACGAGGAAACAGCACGATTATAAGACATACGGATCTGGTGAGCTAGTAAAGGTGCCATCACTTCTGTGGATACTCCGGGCACCATCCCTTCAGAGGAAACTCCGTCAAGCTGGCTTAATACTTGACTAGATGGTGCAGGTTGAATTGGAACAAATACTTCGGACAGAATGGGTTGACTACTATCAACCACTGGGGGACTTAGGGCAACAGGCGTGACAAATATATTACTGGAAGATTCATTTACCCCATGTACATAATGTACAGAACTAGAAGAACTAAGGTTGCCAGATAAGGCAGGTATAATACTGTCTTCAGTCACTTTTGAGCCATTTTTCTCTAACGTTACCACAGCAGCAGGTGCCGTGTCGAAAAAGTCATAACAAACCCATTTACCTCTTCGGAATGGTTCTTTGGTTTCTATTTTCACCACTTTGAAACGAGACTGAGATTCTCTGTCCGGCTTCTGTTTCACAACAATTGTTGTTGTACTTGTGACATCATCTGGAGTAAGGGGCATCATGTTATCCTGTAAATCCATATCAACATCAGTTGCTTTCGAGCTTGTATCATACAATTCTGAACTGAGATCTTCAGTCTGGCTTTCATCCAAGCCATCAACACTATCAGCATCATTATCTACCGGCAGGTCTCCACTGCCACCCTTTTTAACACTTATAATCTTAAACGTTTTCTTTCTGGCAGGGTCAGCTGATTTTGATGGACTGAGATTGGAACTCTCTTCGTTGACAGCTTGAAGCGTGTCTACTTTAGGTACGGTATTCAAACCCTGCCCACGTAGCTGGTCGGCAGGATTAGCAGATGCTTCCGATTGCTGAACGTTTTCCATTGTTATTCCGAATTGTAGCTTTACTATAATCCGAGAACACAGGTAGCACCCTAAACAGTTTTGAAAACGTGCTGTTCACAGCACGGCTCCGTGTCACAAGATAAGAATGCTTCAATCAATACACTGTCACTGCCTGTGTGTACTGTGTACAGTATAGTGTCGAGATTTCGCACTCAATCCACGAAATGCAGGCTGAATATAAGAGTCACTCACCCCCTAGACTATAAAATCAGTCAAAACTGAAAACTAGTGACCTAATGCTATGCAGCCCTCACATTTTGAACCACATAAGACCATCCTTAAGAAAAGAATCTTTAAAACAAGATAACCGTACAAGCATCACTGTTCGATACAGTGACTAATGGCGGACATCATAACAATGCACACTGGGACGGAAACTACGTCATGACCTTTTCAGCGACCTTGTCTCGTGAACTTTAACCTATAAACCGATTTCCCAGACGAGGAAAAGGAAGGCCCGAGAGTTCAAATGTTCACTGCATATTCGCATGCGCATGTCGGTTTACATGGCTTTCTATATTCTGAAGAGATCTAAAATCTAGATCTAGATCTAGATCTAGATCTTTAGATCTAATCAAAAAGTTTTGATAAAGTACATATGCTCTATTATCTAGAAATTCATCGCAAGAATATAGCTGAGTGCAACAAATGACGCCATCTCACTATTTCGGTACCGTGGTTCTTAACGGTTGTTTAAGTTAGTTGGTTTTTTTCTCTAAATTCAAAAGCGCACTGGCACTAGATCTATACCATCTATGATCTATACCATAGAACTAGGCCTACCCCCTTTATCAAGCGCAAAACAACGGTTCTGGGGCGAATTACGCTTTCAACAAAAGAGTGAGAAGTCGTCGTCTTTACAGATACATGTAATTGTCTTGGACATATAGATCTAGCCTAGATCTAGATTCTAGATATCTCGTCACTCTTGCAGTTCAAGAACTCTCACTGATTTGCAAGAGAAACAATTCAAATACATCTAAGTAGGCTACAATAATTTCGCAATTAGGGGAGTTAATACTGGTAGCAATGTTAGTTATTTCTAACTCTTGTCAAATTTCCGCTCGTAACTGTTTATTTATTTACTTATTATTTATATTTACTTATAATTTCAAGTACTATTATATTATTCATACATTATTTATTTTGTCGGTATAGATCTACTATTGTTTTGGCAAACATAACAAAAGGGGGCGATCTCGAGGTTGAGAGGTTACGTTGTTCGACGCCTCTCAACCAATAGATCTAGATCTAGATCCCGGGTTCCAATCTGGTTAGCGACGGAAAATTTTCTCCTCTCAACTCTCAACAGTGTCACCTTTCAGTCCTTTCACCGCTTTTCGTACTGTCTAACCATGTTCTGTCGTCTGCTTTCGTCTCCACTTTCTGCCCCACTTCATTTGCCCCCTTTGGACTCCGGACGCTTTCTGTAGCCTTATTACTGTTAGGCCTACTCCTTGACTCTATCCTTATATATTATTCTATGCTGTCTATCGGCCACACCCCTAGTCTTATGGTGGGTAAGATCTATAGGCTAGCTTTCTCGGATAAGGACGAAAATTCTTGGAGGTCCTGTGTGCAATTTGCGCATGTTGAAGATTCCGTGGTGGTCCAAAATCGATAAGAGTAGGCTTCGGCCGCTACCCGGGCAAAATTGAAAATTTCCTACCAAACTGAAAATGTTTAATGAGTCCCGAGCGCTCATATTACGTTATGCAGTTGCGAGCGCCGTTAAACGAACATCTAAAAAAAAAAACATTACAAAGAATGATACAGTGCACTATGGTTAGCGTAATGCTGTACGGGGGGGGGGTGGACATGTATTTGATTTTGATACAGGTACAGGAATGAAGACGTCACACAATTATCGAGATATCTGTAGTTTATAGATCTATAAAATGCCTCACGCACCTTCAATATAATCTGACCACCTACTTGTATAAAATGTATAGGCAACCTTCTTCTCCAGAGTAAGTTATTTAAACTTTTTACCAAGGAAAATGTAATAATATATGAATTAACCATAGTCACAGCAATAGTATGAATAATGACATAGGCCTGTGTAATCTTTTATTTGCACAATTCTGTCTTAATTTGCATGGTTAGCCTTTACAACAGCTAATTTTCAGTTTGTTTGTAAGTGTTAGGATTATAATTATAGGAACAGACAGATCGTCGAAAGATTCTCCCGAAGTTGGTAATTTAGGGATAAAACTTTTCAACAAAACGAGCTGTAAGCATATAAAGTGCACCCGAAAAATAAAGAGGTACATTTAGAATGTAGTCACGGCCCAACACAGCCAAAGACAGATAACAGTTGAAATCTTTTTAGAAAATCTATTTTTTTAAATTGTTATTGGATTGTTTGTTTTAACATTGTGCTTGTTGTTATAATTTTTTTCTTAAAAAAAAGGGGGGGGAGGGAGTAACCCAGGTTCAACTAAAACAAGATCAGAAGTCAATCTTTAAAACAATATTGGTAGGTGCGCTATCTAACGCATAAGTAACACCCACGTTTTTCGCAGTCTATCGACGGTTGGTCACGAAAAAGCTATTAAATTGACAAGCAAATAGATGGTGTTCTCATAAGAACATGCTTCATGTATGATAAAATAAATGTGTTTCAGGTTTGTTTATGATTGTTCGCAAAATTTAAAGTCACAAGTCTGGTGCTCATTGGGAATTTGTGCCCATCCTGTTCTCGCCTATAGTGTAACCTAGACTAAATCTGTCCACGTGGTTTTATTCACCCCGCATAATTTAGCACAATTTGATTATTTTTTTGCATAATTTCTTATCATTTTGCTTCATCATTCTTTGTGAAAATTAACAGAATCGCATAATTTCACTTTTTGGGAGGCTCAGTTTGAATAATTTCAGAATTTTTCTTGCATAAAACGACAGGGACAGCTAAATGGAGGTGGGAGAGGAAACTTGGCTGGTTCGATCACAGAATCTTTCGTCACTTTACGTATACAAAAAGGTTCTTTCGTGTGATTGCATCACTAGAAGACGTTGAATCCTTCTGCTATCTTGGGAGTACAATTGACAGAGAGGGAGGAACAAGTGCTGAAATAAAGTCACGCTTTGGAAAAACACAGGAGCCTTTCATATCTTTGGATAGGATTTGGAAGATTAGAGCTCACTAAGAACAAAGCTGAGAATTTTCAATTCAAGTGTTAAGTCAGTCCTGTTGTATGGATGTGAAAAATGGAACTCATCACAGACTTGCATAAAGAGTAAAAAGGATCCCGGGTTTTTTTAAATAAGTGTCTAAGAAAGTTACTGTGAATTAGATGGACAGACAGGGTCACCAGCAAGGGAAAACAAGACAGATCCCAGTCACGGATGAGATAGGAAGAAGAAGACGGTGGCTATTGATTGAACATACTCTGAGGAAGTCAGGCAGCTACATAACAAAGAAGGGAGTGCTTATTTAGGCCACATATGGCCTAAATAAGGTAAGGGAGGGGGGTTTAGCTTATTTAGGCCACAGTGGACTGTGGCCTAAATAAGGTAAGGGAGGGGGGTTTAGCTTATTTAGGCCACACATGCTCAAACTACCCTTTTCAGGCAACTGAGTTCGTTCCACTTTCATAGTGGTGCACCTTTCTCATTTAGTACAGTTATGTCTCAGTGTAATACTTATAAATCATAATCATAATGAATATTGTAAAGAACAAAGCACAGTACGCAAAATTTTGCTCAATCCCAATGGTTTGAATGAGGGCCAGATTTTTCCTTCATGGAGGGGCAAAAGCTGGGCTACCATTTTGGCACACTTTGGTCAAGTGAAAAGGTCAAATCCTCCGAATGGACTTCCGGGTTAAAATTGGGGTATAAAAAGTGTGTACACAACGTGGCTGAGTCAAAGTTACACTATCTTTGCCTGAGTGACACTTTCTTGTACTGTCTCGTAGTAGTACATGTAGGCTAGTAGGCCTAGTAGTAGTAGTAGCAAAGATCATGTAGAGAATATTTGGTAGTAGATTCTATCTAGTAGGCAGTTTAGTGAACGTGCTCGCAGCAGGGTGAATCGGCCTCGATAAGCCGCGTAGACTTTTGTGATCGGCCACGAAGCCTCGTGTTTTGATGGGTCTAAACAACCCAGTGTTATTCGCACTGCCACATCCGACAGGCCTAGATCTACATCTTTTTAAAAGGAAAAGAAAGAACATCAAAATGGTTGAATTCGCGTGAAAATCGATTCGGTAGAACTAGAACTATTAAAATTTGCTTCAGAAAACAAGGCAATTTTTATACGAAGGCCATTTTTATAACTCGATGAAATAAAAACTACTGGCTGTGTACTGTGTTATTCTGTATAAAAATAAATCATGAAACTTCAGGACGTATTATTATTTTCCAGCATCTTTTGACGCCTGAGCTGTAGAGGTTGAAGTTTTCACAACACTAATAGATCTAGTAATAGGCCAGGTAATAGGGCTTTCCGTAAAAAATGCATAGATCTACACCTCGCTCTCCCCTGCACACTGTGATAACGTGTTGCTTCGGTATCGCATTATTCAACTATTATTAATACGTGCGGCTATGGCAATTGGGATGTACTGACTGACAAAAAATTAAGTTTTGTTTTTATTTTACCATATATTTGACTTAAATAGTGCAGGCGATAGCAAGATCTAGATTCCCTGTCTAGAATCAGTAGTAGCAGGCCATGCTAGAAGCAGCCAGAGAGCCTACAACTGCTAGATCTAGATCTAACTTATTATTGCTATGCCTTTGGGCTTTGGAATTGAAATAAAACGAATTGCACAGTTCTAGTTACTTTTAGATTCAGCAAGTAACTGTATTTCCAGAGTTAATAATAACAAATCTCAGCATAACAATCACTTTTACTTTTATTAGAATAATTAGATCCAACTTTTTTTCTAGAATCTGTTTTGCGCAAACTTAAGACTTTCTCTACTTGTAGAGCACAGAATTTACATTGTAAGCCTCTGCTCAGTCTTTTAGTATATATAATAAAATACACACACACACACACACACACACACACATATATATATTTATATATATATATATATATATATAGAGAGAGAGAGAGAGAGATCTATATAATCATTTTATGTTGTTTTCGGGATATTTTTAAAACTCTTTTTTTCAACATATCATAAAATCAAATTGTGCCATTTTCTTTGAAAAGAATAGCATTAGCAGTGGACTTTTTAGACAGTGAGTCTCTGATTCAATTTTTTTTTTTTAATATGCTAATCAATGAAAATTGCAAATTGATAATAGTTTACTCCTGAAGAGGATAGGTGGACTCCGGGGTCTGCAAAGCGAAATACTAGGTTTTAGGATGTGAACCCCGGAGTCACCGTAGTGAAATAAGGTTTGGTTTAAGTAAGGATTGGTGGACCCCGGGGTCAACATAGTGATAAATAAGCAGGTTAAAGGTGGACCCCGGGGTCTACCTAGCGAAATACTAGGTTTTAGGACAGGTGGACCCCGGGGTCACCGTAGTGAAATAAGTATGTTTCTTTAAAGATCGGTGGACCCCGAGGTCAGCCTAGTGAAATAAGTAGGGTTAATTTTAAAAGGATTGGTGGACCCCGGAGTCACCATAGCCGTAGAAGAATAAGAAGGTTTAATTAAGGATTTGTGGACCCCCGGGACACCTTGATTAAACCTACT